GATGATCTGGAAGCACCAGCGGATGATCTGGAAGCACCAGTGGATGATCTGGAAGCCTTGGAGGCTGCCGTAAAGGCCTCAGGCGAGAGGCTGTACAACTTCAGCTCTGAATGCCCTGGGCCCTGGGCCCTCGGGTTCCTGGGCCATGTTTCACTCTCTGCAGTAGTTTCATCCACTTAGAACTTGTTGTTTGGTTACCCACCCCACCACCACCAGGAATGGATGTGCAGCAGCAGTTGTCCTAAAGTTCGGCAGCTATGGGCCACCTGTGCACGTGGTATTGAGGGTAATCCTAGGCATTAGCAGGAAGGAGGAAAGGGGAGGCCTCTTTGACTCTGGAACCAAGATCATCTGAGCCACAAAGAAAAGGCTTCAGGCTGCAGAGACTATGAAAAATAAGTCTGGGATGAACCCTCATGTCTGAGATGTTATTGATTGGTTATTTTCTTTTTTCATTTTCTATCTTCTGGCCATTCTCCTTGTATTTTTCATTATGCTCCAGTGTATTTTGCTTCTTTCTGGGAAAGGTGGCAGTTTATGTGATGCAGAGGCAGGAAGCAGGGTGATGGTGAGTGATGGAGACCTTGTGGCCAGGATACCCCAGACTGACTACAAGCAGTGGTGTCTCCCTAGGGTGCCCAGCACTGCCTGGTCCCTGATTTCATGTCCAACCATTTGAAGATCTGGTAAACTATCAGAAGCTATCCCACAGCCCCTGCAACCAGGGACAGCCCTTGGAGAGGATTTATAAAGGAGAGTTACTGACTTTGGGTTTGACCCTTACCTTTCCAGTGGGAGTGGGGAAGGGCTAGCTAGCCAGAGAGACCTGGAAACAGTGTTGGTCTCCATTGGCTGAAGTGGGAGCCAGCTCTCTGTTCTACCCAAGATGACAAAGAGAAGGCGGTGGAAGGGTGAGTCTTTAGGGAACTCCAAAGATCAAATTGGAGGAGACCAATTTCAAAGATCATGCCAAGAAGTAAGAGCAGCTCCAGAAAAGAAACCAAGAGTCAAAAGCTGGAAGGAATTGAAAAAGAGTGTAAGTAGGTCTGGAGTATTGCTGTGGGAGCTCTGGAATGTCCTAGGTTTCCCCTTATGAGTCATTGCATGAGTGGGATGTGGGTGCGTTGAGCTGGCTGAAAGTTAGGAGCAGGTAATATGCCATCCTCCCAGCGATGTAATCTTCAGTCCAGAGGTTGGGGCTGAGAAGGGTAGGGCATAGATATCAGCATATTGAGAAGTGAGTCAGGGGCAAAACAAATGGAATCTGACTGTGAGGATGAAGCGGGAGTTGATCGCAGAGTATACACATGTGGGAAGCATAAAATACCTTGTTGCTCACAGACCTCCACAGTTTCTAAATACATGAATCCTGATTTCTCCTTTTACATCTGACGTCCTTTGGTATGTCTAGAGAGGTAGCTGTGTCCCCAGGCCACTACACTACTCCAAGTGACCCCAGATAGAGCATCCTAGTGGTCTACAATCTCAATCTAGGGGGAAAAGCTCTGGGAGAGCTGTAGTTTGTCCCTCCAGAACCCCTGGGACTGCGTGGGTGACTCTGCTTCCAATATTTGCAGGATCCAAGGGAAGAACACACACAGAAGCCTATGTGCCATTTTTTGTAAATATTTAAAAGCTAATAGCTGTTAAAATGTGTTCTATCCTGTTACAAATACACCTAGAAACCCAGGATTCTTGGGCTTCCAAAAGTTCCATGCAAGCATATGGGGCTGTCCTATACTGCTAGGGCCTCACACATATTTGACACAAATAACCTCCCCGTGGCCTGGGGGTGCTCACTCCAGCAATGTGACATGCCTCCAGGAGGATGGACATGGGGAAGGGAGGTACGCAGGCCCTGGAAGCAAGTTCAGGGGTCTTTGAGCAGGGAATTCCAGGATCCCAGATGCCTGGAGCGGGGCCTAGCAGGTGGCCTGGATTCTGGGTGGGAATGTCCCTTTGGCCCCATGACTTCTCCCTTAATGTGGGGAGGAGGGAGACTGCAGGAGAGGAGGACCAGAGTGAGCCCTGTAAAACGTGGGGGCCCATGGCAGGGCCTTTCTTGCTCAGGTCTAAGGGCAATGCTGACGATCGATGGTAGAGAGGTAGAAACCACCGTTTCCTTCTACGTTTAAGAACCGTAGTCTCCTCAGATCTCTGTGTTGCAGAACGCAGGATTCCTCCTCTGACGTTCCCTCCCTCTAATAGTGGATTAATGATACCGCCATCGTCCCAGCAAGGAAGGAATCCCAGTTGGGTGTGCAATGGCTTAATGACTTGGCTCTCAGTGGTCAGAGCTGCATTGTCTGGTCAGTCCTCTTACCCTACCCTGGTGAGCAGCACACAATAGTTTTTGTTTTCCTTCTGATTTAAAGGGAGAGTCTTCATCCCCAAAGAAAAGCCCATAGAAACTCGTAAAGAAGAAAAAGTGACCCTTGACCCAGAACTGGAAGAAGCTTTGGCCAGCGCCTCCGACACCGAGCTCTATGATCTTGCAGGTTAGTCCTCAGCTCTGGGAAACTTTCCTGTGCGGCTCTGGCCCCCCAGGCACACACTGGCATGCCCAGCAGCAGCCTCTGAGCTTCAGTAACTACTGATCAGCATTGCAATACCAGGGTGACTTCAGCTATTATGTAGCCATAAGACTTGATGCAAGTGACTTCACCTCTCTGAGCAAATCTTACTTTGCTGTATCTCAGCTGTAAAATGTAAATTCCTATCTCGGCTATAAAATGCCCCAATAATACCCTTCCTACAAAATTCAAGAGTTTGAGAAGCCAAAGAGAAGGAATCTAAAGGAGTGTTGAGAACTTAAACAATGAAATAATAGCCCTTACTCTAAGGAGCTTTCACATTGGCATTTTATAACATTTTATCATCATAAAGTATCTGTGAAGTTCTTGCTCTTCCCCACAGTCGCTATTCCGTTTTGATTGCCACGAAGAGGTCTGTTAGCCTAACCACAGAGCAGGAGTTATTAACCATTACACCCACACAGTAATTAAAGCCATATTCAGCCCCATCTGCTCATCTTTTTCTAGTTTTCTAAACAGTAGCAACAAAATAATAATTGGTGTTATGATTTGAATTGGTTATACATGCAGATAGACAAAACACACATAGTATAAAAGAATGGGTAGTCAAGATGGCGGTAGGTTAGGGGTCAGCAAACTGCGACTTGCCTCCTGTGTTTGTAAATAAACTTTTATTGGAACATAGCAACACCAACAAAAGAATATGTCATGAAAGTAATTAATCTCACCCTAATTAAGTCCTCTCCCATTTCTACTATATCCTTCAAGAAAGATTCCATGCATCTACCAGCATATTTGTGCATTCTTTTTTTTTTTTTAAAGATTTATTTATTTGACAGAGAGAGACACAGCGAGAGAGGGAACACAAGCAGGGGGGTAGTGGGAGAGGGAGAAGCAGGCTTCCCGCTGAGCAGGGAGCCCGATGTGGGGCTCGATCCCAGGACCCTGGGATCATGACCTGAGCTGAAGGCAGACACTTAACTGAGCCACCCAGGTGCGCCGCATATCTGTGCATTAATGGGATGTGTTTTTTTCCAAGTGGGATGTAAATTTAGATTATTAGGGTTATTAGGTCACTACAGGATAAAGGTGCTTTAAAAAACAGCCCATATTTGGGTGCCTGGGTGGCGCAGTTGGTCAAGCGTCCGACTCCAGATTTCATCTCAGGCCCTGATCTCAAGGTCATGGGATCGAGCCCTGAGTCGGGCACTGTCCTCAGTGTGGAGTCTGCTTAAGATTCTCTCTCCATTTCCCTCTACCCTTCCCACTTGTGCTCTCTTTCTCTCAAAAAAATAAAAAACAGTCCACGAGCCTTAGCAAGAATCCTCACATCTTTATTCCACTGAAAAACATTTGTAATAATAATCCATCCTCCCTCCCAGGAGAACCAGCTATGCCTTATTCTAATAGCATGCCTACCGTCTCAGCTACATCTTTGTTCCTCCTGTGATGAGATCAGTGGTCAATACTAAGTTCACATATTTGAACCTCTCTCAGAAATCACTGCAGGAATTGAGGCACCTGCATCACACAGTTAAGAAGGTGCCTTGCAGTGACCTTTCTTCTTAGCCCTGCGGTTGCTGTGGAGGGATCCTGGTATGGTTACTGCTCCTCTCAAGGGTTGTCTCATGGTTTCTACTAGAATTGCCCAAAGGGAGAATGCAGGGCTGGGCTTGAATTCCCAGGAAATGCTTAAGAAAGGAGAAAGAGGAAAACACCAATCATCTGGAAGAATCTAGATTCTGAAATTCATACAATAAAACCAGGGGAATAATCCAGATAGAAAACTGTCTTGTTCATCTCTGCTTAACCTCATTCGCTCATCAGATGCTCTGTCAGAACTCAGGAGGAAGCCGGCCTGGGGGTGGGTGACAGCATCTTCTCTGGGGTGGTTCTTTCTGGAAGATCAGGAGCAGCCCCATGAGCGGATGGGCTGACAGCCAGTGAGGTTTAGATAGGAAAGATTGTCAATGCCCTGTGCATGTTATTCTGGCTGGTAGGCAGCAGAAAGACAGTCGTCAAGAGAACAGCTGCTGACCTCCAAGACAGCACTTCCTGGAGCAGCTAGATCTCAGCATGGTCACCAGTTCTGATGGTCTAGAAATTCAATTTTGTCAGTGTTCATAGGAGACGTCTGTTTGGGCTAATCCACTAGCCAGATTCACAGGAAACAGATAAAACAAAGATTAAAACTTGGCAATGGGAGCCAAATTATAATTAGAAGTTGCTTAGTGAGTATGGGGCCAAAGCAAGATATGTTTGGATGATCCGTGGCCTGTGTTTATCAAATAGGGCGTCTTCTCCCTAGACAATGCCAGAAACATAGTGACAAATTCTTATTTAACAGGAATCTGTAAAGTGCTTGGAACAGTGTCTGATGCATGAGAAGTCATTTAAGCTTTGTAACACTTGAAGTATAATTATTATCCCTACCTTACCGATGATGAAACATGCTCAGAGGCATTTAGTAACTTCCCAAGTCACAGAGGTAGTATGGGACAGAACCAGGATTCCAACTCTGGCCGACTGCTCCTGAGTGCCACTCTTAACCCTAGCCTTGTCGGCTGTAAGCATTTGCCCTTTATTGGGCTGCTGGCAGCCTCCCTGCTCCTGACGTGTAGATTACAGTACGACTGATGAGGAGCTCTGAGATACTCCACTGCCTCCTGCTGACAGATTACCTGCTCTGGGATCCTTCTCCAGGTGGCCAGTCTCATCCGTATAATTTCATTAGCAAAAGGGGCACTTGCCTTTCAGCCTGCCCAGAGCTCATGCTGACCCAGTGCCGTTTCTTGCATCCTTTGCTGCCTCCTGGTGTAAGCTCCCCATAATACAGGAGTCGCAAAATCTCAGTGTGCTTATCCCACCTTTTATTGCTGACATCTCTTTTATTTCCCATTCTAGGATGCTCTAAACTGGAGAGGACAACTGCTGTTGGTACTGAGAGATTGGGGCGGCTTTCACTGAAAGAGGCCCATGATCTTTCTTCCATTTGCTGTAATCTGTATAATTTAGATCTTAAAGTATCCTTAGACTCAGTCCCATGCTCACATTTTACAGATGAGAAAACAGAAGAGTTGAGTCTATTTAACTAGGAGGTCTAAGCACGTTTTCAGTAATTTGGAGGTATAACATAACTCGACCATTGTCCTGCGGATCCTAAATGATTCTACCTGTATAGCCACAGAAAGACCTGTGAAGATCGCTGGTGGCAATGGAAAAGGATTGGAAAGGGATTTTTTAAAAATATGTAAGCTTATTTAATACTACATGTGTCCCATACACTATGCAAGGCAAGGGGGTTCTGGAGACTTACTTTATGATATGAAGAATTGATCTTCAAGGGGAAAATTAACATTGCGGACATCTTAACATGCCTTCCCAAACTTTTTATATATTTACTGATTATCTTTGTTTCTAGCTGTTCTTGGAGTACACAATTTACTCAACAATCCAAAGTTTGATGAAGAAATGGCCAGTACTAAAGGTGGCAAAGTGCCTGTGAGAAGTAAGTTGATGTGGAGTCTGTGGTTTGTGAAACTTGGGAGCTCCAGGTTGTTGTTGTTAAGAGGGAGGCCTGTTGACTGGGCTGCCAGTTGAATCCAGATTTCCATCTTGCAGATTTTGCAGGTGGATTCTGTCAGTTCACCAAGATCAGTCACTGGGCTCTGAGCAGTCAAACCAGAATAGGGAAGCCAATTATCAAAGTTCTGTTTTGCAGCGTATTGTACCAATTAGGTGTGTTTTGCCCAGAACATACTCTTTGGTAGGTCTGTTTAGTCAAAATATAAAATTGCTGATAAAAAGGTGACATAGTCCGCACAGATTGCAAACAGAGTTTCATGTTCCTAATGATGTTTTTTAATCAACTATAGTATTTTTGGTAAGTTTCCTTCTCTATTTGGGTGTCTTTTTGTCTCAATAATGGATGCAGGTCATTAGAATTTGAATACCCACTTCCCCCACGAGAGCATGAAAGACACATTGGCATAGACTTACCGGCACAGAAAGTTCGAGACCACAGTTCTCTGTATTAGCATTTCCTGGAGAAGTGTACAGTTTATTAGACTCTCTCACTGACTCATTCATTAGTCATCTACTAAATACCTACTATGCATCAGGAAGGTTCTAGGCTTAGGTACAAAGATAAAAAATGGTCTCTGCCTAAAGGAACTTACCTATCCAGGGTTAGGATGGACCAATAATCAGGTAATTTTGCTACAGTGTGATCCAGGTGCTGTAAAAACTTACAGAAGATCACAGCTTTTCTTAGATTAATTTTATTTTATTCTCTTTGAAGGAGTTTGAGCAGGTGCTTTCTAGTCTGAGCAGCATATTTACAAACCATCATTTATACTGGGCTATTTATCCAGACAATAAGCAATGTTACTTTTATTTTTTTTTCTTTTCGGCTTTTAATACGTGCAGATGAGAAGTGTTTATCTTGGGGCACCTGGGTGGCTCAGTCGTTAAGCGTCTGCCTTCGGCTCAGGTCGTGATCCCGGGGTCCTGGGATCAAGCCCCACATCGGGCTCTCTGCTCGGCAGGAAGCCTGCTTCTCCCTCTCCCACTCCCCCTGCTTGTGTTCCCTCTCTCGCTGTCTCTCTCTCTCTCTCTGTCGAATAAATAAATAAAATCTTTAAAAAAAAAAAGAGAAGTGTTTATCCTTTTTAACTTCAATATCAAAGGGTAACATTCTGACAGCATGTTTGCTATTAAAAGTCTGGTGCATCATCTTCTGGGCTTTTGTGCATATACATATCATTAACTTTTTTAAGACTATTTTTTAAGGGAAATTTTAGGTACACAGCAAAATTAAAGATTTCCCATATACTCCCTGACCCCAATTCATGCACAGCCTCCCCCAGTACCAACATCCCCCAGCAGAGTGGTACATATGTTACCCTTGTTGAACCTACCGCGACACATCATTATCATTCAAAGTCCATTGTTTACATTCAGGTTCACTCTTGGGGTTGTACATTCTATAATTTGGACAAATATATATTGACATGTATCCACCATTATAGTATCATGCAGAGTAGTTTCACTGTCCTAAAAATCCTCTCTGCTCACCTATTTATCTTTCTCTCCCCCTAGCTCCTGATGACCACTGATCTTTCTATTCTATAGTTTTGCCTTTTCCAGACTGTCATATAGTTGGAATCATACAGTGTGTAGCCCTTTCAGATTGGCTTCTTTCACTTAGTAATATACATTTAAGTTTCCTCCATGCTTTTTCAGGCTTGATAGCTCATTTCTTTTTAGCATGGCATAATATCCTATTGTAAGGATGTATTTATCCATTCACTTACTGAAGGACATCATGGTTGCTTCCAAGTCTTGGCAATTATGAATAAAGCTTCTGTAAACATCCATGTGTGGATGTTTTTGTGTGGATATAAGCTTTCAACTCCTTTGGGTAAACATCAAGGAGCATGATTGCTAGATGGAATGATAACAGTATGTTTAGTTTTGTCAGAAACCACCAAACTGTCTTCCAAGGTGATTGTAACATTTTGCATTCTCACTGGCAAAGAATGAGAGTTTCTGTTGCTCCACTCTTAGCTAGCATTCAGTTTTATCAGTGTTCCAGATTGAGGTTATTCTAATAAGTGTGTAGTAGTATCTCATGATTTCAATTTGCATTTCCCCAATGACATATTATGTGGAGCATCTTTTCATATGCTTGCTTGCCATCTGCATATCTTCTTTTGTCAGGGGTCTGTTAAGGTCTTTGGCCCAATTTTTAATCAGGGTGTTGTCCTATTGTTGAGTTTTAAGAGTTCTTTGTATATTTTGGATAACAATCCTTTATTAGATCTGTATTTTGCAAATATCTCTTTTTCAGAATAGAAAATACTAATTTTAGTGAAGTCCAGCTTATCAATTCTTTCTTTCACGGACCAAGCCTTTGGTGTTATATCTGAAAAGTCATTGCTAAACCCTAGTTTATCTAGATTTTCTCTTGCATTATCTTCCAGGAGTTCTATAGTTTTGCATTTTACATTTAGGTGATACATTTTGAGTTAATTTTGCCGGAGCGTTGGTGGTATAGTGGTTAGCATAGCTGCCTTCCATTTTGAGTTAATTTTTGTGAAGAGTATAAGGTCTGTGTCTAGATTCCTTTTTTTTTTTTTTTGCATGTGGTTGTCTAGTTGTACTAGCACCATTTGTTATAAAGACTATCTCTTTTCCATTGTGTTGCCTTTGCTCCTTTATCAAAAATGAGTTGACTGTATTAATGTGGCTCTATTTCTTGGCTCTCTATTCTGTTCCATTGATCTATTTGTCTAGTCTTTCACCCCTGCCACACTGTCTTGATTACTGTAGCTTTATAGTAAGTCTCAAAGTCTGGTAGTGTCACTCCTCTAACTTTGTTTTTCATTTTCAGTGTTGTGTTGGTTGTTTTGGGTCTTTTGCCTCTCCATATAAACTTTAAAATTAGTGTGTTGATATTTACAAAATAACTTGCTGGGATTTTGACTGCAATTGCATTGAATCTATAGCTCAACTTGAGAAGAATTGACATCTTACCAATATTGAGTCTCTCCCAGTATCTCTCCATTTAGTTCTCTTTTATTTTTTTCAATAAAGTTTTGTAGTTTTCCTCATCTAGATCTTGTACATATTTTGTTATATTTATATATATTTCCTTTTCCGTTAACTTTTTTTCAAATTGTGGTTCTTTTATCAGTACATGTAGGTTTGCCTCATTCTTTTAATGAATAGGTAGCACCTTATTATGTGATTATGCTATAAGTTATTTAGCCATTTTCACATTGATGGGCATTTTGTTTATCATGTTTTGTTGCTACAAGTAATACGTCAGTGAACATCCCTGAATATATGTCTTTATGCATCCATGCTATTTTTTTCTGTAGATTAGACTTCTAGATACATAATTACTGGGTCATAGTGTACCCATATTTTATATTTTGGTAGGTGAGGCCAAATGACTCTCCCAAAAAGTTTGCATCAGTTTACATTCTCACCAACAACATAAGACAATGCGTTTTACTCCACATTGTTGCCAATTGTACATGTTATCTCTTCTTACATTTTTCTTTTTTTTGCTGGTCAAAAGGTATTTCATTTTTTAGTTTCACAGTTTAATGACTTTTTACATTTTTGGTTGAGTGGCAGAGACTCTTCTGATCTTATTATTTGCTCATTTTTAATTGGGTTGTCTACTGATTTGTAGGAGCTCTGTGTAAATTGAGATATTAATACTGTATATGTTAAATATATGCTGCAAACATTTTCTTTTAACTGCTTTTGAGAATTGTTTCATTTTGCCTTTCTATCCGTTTCTCTTCCCATATCTTTGTCAAAATTAAATCTCCAAAATGGATATCAGAGAAGGGTCGGGCATGGTCAAGAGGCCAGAGGGGCACCTGGCTGGCTCAGTTGGTAGAGTATGCGACTCTTGATCTCAGGGTCGTGAGTTTGAACCCCATGTTGAGCATGGAGCCTACTTAAAAAGAATAAGTAAGTAAGTAAATAAATAAATAAATAAATATTTTTAAAAAAGATTT